TGGTCACCAATGATCCCAACAGTTGGTCAAATAACCCAACTGATCACCAACTAGCCCAACCGTTCACCAACTAGCCCAACCGTTCACCAACTAGCCCAATTGATCACCAACTAGCCCAATTGATCATCAACGGTGACCACTATCACAAACAAGGAGAACGTACATGACCGAAAACGTCTTCTATCATGAAGCTGAACAGCTTATACTTGGATACGTTCGTTCCATGTGTGGAGTCGAGCATGAGCACCTCTGGAAAGCCTCAAAGAACCGATGCATCTGTCTTGTCTGTAGTGTGATCGTTTGCGTAGTCTCCGTCTCGTCCACGAAGATAGAGGCAGTATTGCCACGGAAAGCGCAAAACTTACGCAGTACAGCCTCCAGTCGATCTTCGACAGTTGCAATTCCGCGCCGCCTCGCCTTCAATCGCTGCACCAAATTGTGCACGTCCCGTAAGGTTACGCTTTTGCCTAATACGACACACACAACAAACATTAGTTATAGGTGCCACTTTTCATTTGCCTCAACCAGATCCCTTAACCTGTTGTCTCTTGGAGATACTTTAGTATCTTCTTCGGTTTTCCACCAGCCTTGACTAGCTCATCGACAATGTCGAGAACGTCGGGGTCCGTAACACGCCTATTGACAGGATAGTGGTCGTAGATGTCTTTCCCTAGCCGGTGATTGTGAACCCGCTTGTGAACAGTGACTTTTACTCTGAAGTTGAGACTTTCAGGGCAACGTGTCACAGTCGCGCAGAGAACAACTCCACATCCTGTGCTACGTCCTCTATGTCCGGTCCTTCGGCCGTCTCCCCTCTCACTTTTGTTCCAACCATGTGTGCACAGCATCTTCTTGTAATAGTCTCCAAATGATTCGGGAATGAGCTCGGTCTCAGACCATTTCTTCTTCGCCTTGATGACTGCATTACGCGTTGTCGCCTTCACGGTAGACCGAACACTGTACAACTGCTTCGTACGGTCTTGATAGTCTTGCAGCCGAGCAAAAAACACGTTCCAATCGTCGTACCACGTTTCAAAGGGGGGCGAAACCACTCTAATTTCCTTTGGTTCCTCGTCCGATGAGTCGAGTGGGCCACAAGAGGCTGTAGATTGGACGGGCAGACTAGTAGGAGCTTCTCGAATAGAGCTAGCGCTCGCGGAGGGATCAGCTGATCTCGCATACAGCTCGCGGTCGTGTAGGGAAGGCACACTAATGTCCGTGGGCGCGTTAGTACTTGCAGAGTGGTCGTCTATCGACGTCTGTCCGACAGAATCACTCATACTAATTGGCGATGCGGCCTGCAAGTGGTAAGAGGCGCCTTGTTTCACCGATAGTTGGGGAGGGGGTGACGACGCAGCAGCTACGTGGATGCCTGTTCCGGGGACGGGGGGGATTCTGAATGGACGGCCAGTAGGACGTGCGCAATAATTTTTTTGAAAAAAAGGAAATGTAGAAAAAGGAACAAAGTAAATTACTGTCAGGGCCGAAAATTACCGTGTTCCGGCTGTGCAATCTCGTTGGTGACTCTATTCAGTGCCTTAATAAAATGACTGAGCAGATACTGCTGCCCCGGTACAAGTGCACAATTTCCGGGGGTGTACAAAGTGAATACATCCCATCATTTTTGCTTATCCCGGGCTTGTGTCGTATTTCGAATGCTCAAAAACGATAATCTGCAAACCGTACAACAGCGGATAGATGGTCGATAGCGCCGGCTCAGTGCCACTTTGTCATTCTCTCTCTGAGTCTCCATCCCAAAGCTTGGAGGGAGGTTACCACGTGCAGACATGCGTGTCCCCAGCGCCATATTGGCTGCGCTCTTACTGACATATGCTGCTTCTGCCTCAACAGCGGGGTTTCCACGTTCCACGGTGAACAATTGGCACGATACAATGAGGTTTTTAAGGACCCATGAGGCTCTCAATACCGAGGAGAGAGGGATCACTGTCCCTAATGTTGAGATGCTCCAGGGTTGGCTCAAGAAAGGTCTGCTCTCTGACGAAGCCGTAGGCCTACTATCGCTCGGTAACAAGGCCGACAATCTGCTTTCCGGTTCCCTATTGAACGCTTGGGTGAGCTACATCAAAGTATTTAACAAGGAGAACCCTACGGAGAAGATGCAAACAATCTCGGCACTCACTGCTCGCTTTGGAGACGAAGCTCTCTCTACAATGATTGAAACAGCCAAGAGAATGCCGTCAACGAAGGACGTCGCGAATAAAATCCAAACCAAGCAGATTCAGCATTGGATGAAGGCTGGGAAGACCCCGAACGATGTCTTTGTACTGCTGGAACTCAATTCTGCCAAGTCGATTCTGTTTGACCAGCCTGCAGTCAATACGTGGCTGCGATACCTGGACGATTTTAGTGCGAGTAAGCCCGCATCGCAGTACTCTACCATCGCGACGTTAAGAACACTCTACGCCGATGATGAGCTGGCTAAAATGATTGTTATTGCATCTAGAAATTCAAAGACTTCGGAAGCTGGTAAACGCGTGGAAACGGAGTTATTGCGGACCTGGTTTAACGAAATGAAGACCCCGAAGGACGTCTTA